GGAGTCTCACACTTGTCGCCCAGTCTGGAGTGCAGTAGCACACTCACAGCCACCACAGCCTCGACCTACTGAGCTCAGGCAATCCTTCTGCCTCAGCCTTTCAAGGAGCTGGAACTACAGACGCACACCACCATGCCTGGTCAGTTTTTGTAATTTATTGTAGAGACCAGGTCTCACCCAGTTGCCCAGGTTGGTCTCGAATCCCCAGACTTAGGCAATCCTCTTGCCTCTGTCTCCCAAAGTGCTGGGATTACAAGTGTGAGCCACTGCGCCCGGCCTGACATGACTTCTTTAAAAAAACAGATGAGGCGGTGGAAAGGGTGGAATCAATAATCAGGAGAGCCAAGTTGGAACTCAGGCTGTGCTGTATGATGCGCTCTCCACCAATCTGACCTTTAAGATGGAAAAAATTGGAGAGGGCAGGGTCAGAAAAGACCATTCCCTTTACAGGAGACCCAGAGATAGAAGCCATTTACGTAGTTATTCTTAGGGTGTCAGGAAGAGTGAGGGGAAACTCATCCCTTCTCAACATCTTCTTTGATGGTGGAGCCCTCATTCCAAACACCTGACACTCAAGGTGCAAAACTAAGAGCAGGGTGCCATTTAAAAGCCACTCCTCAGTCACTGTCCTGCAAAAGAATGCATTGGGTGACCCAGGTCCCTGGGAACAAGTGCTCTCATGCTGAGTTTAACCCATGAAGTTTGAAGCGACTCAGTCTCCAAGCCCAAAAAACCCTAAGACACAGACACACTCGGCTTTCGATATAAGTTTCCTTTTATTTTGAAATTGAAACAGCGAAATGAAGTGGTTTGTGGCTGCAGCAACCTTCACAGGAAAAACCGGAGTGCTCATTTATCCATCCAGAGAACAAACTCCAAGGTCTGAGCCAGTTGCTCCACCTCCTCCGGGCACAGAAAAGAGCAACAGAGTCAAGGATGGGAGGAAGGATACAATCAAAATCGGGATGGTGACAGCTGGTAGATTTCCAGTAAATTAAAATTCCCAAAGTTGCCGCGATCACAGCATAAGATAGCATTCATTTCTAAACACAGTCTCAAGCAGGAGCCCTCCAGCCCTTCCCCATCCTCACTCATAAAAATACATAGTTCCCTCTCCCGAGTTAAATGATGGCTCAAGACGGCACAGCAAGCCACTCGGCCTCAGGGGAGGAGGCTCTTTAGACCTATTCTAGTTTCCCGGACAGGATCAAGGTTTCAGAGAAAGGGGAGAATCTGAATGGTGGCAGGGGATGCTTATCCATTACATTGCTCATTATCTGCTGAAATTCATTTCGAACGCACCTTGACAGCAGTGGCTTACATGAAATTTGCACAGAAATGTTACAAGTGACTCCCCAGCTCCCACAGGGGGAAATGGCTCCCCAACACACCCAAAGCCTTTGTTGGGGAGGGCGGGAAGGGGAGAGAAGCCCAGGTAGGACTCGCGGGCAGGAATGGGGTCGGGGGTGAGGCAGGCCAGGGGCAGACTGTGAAAGCCGTACCTGTTAGAATAGCTAGCATGTTATCTTAAACAAGTGAACAAAATCGCCAAAGAGTGAAACTTATTATGGGGGAAAAAAAAAAGAGCAAAGTTTGGGAAATTAAAACAATCCAGTGGTCACTGGAAAATGTCTCCCTCTTTTTAAAAAAATTTTTTTTGGTTTTTTTTTTTAATTTTTTGGAAAGAATTTTTAAGGTAATATTTTTTTTCCTTTGGAAAAAGAAGTCCTTTTTCCCCCCTAACCTAAGCAAGTGGAGTTGCCACTACCTAATTTATTTCTATTGTTTTGCTAAGAGGTAGATAAAACAAAAGTGAAACGGGGCTTCTATGAGGAGGTCCATTAGAGGGTGGGGAGGGGCTGGGATGGCCCAGGGGAGCCTACAGAGACCGGGCGGAAGGATGGCCCAGACCCCAGAGCTCTCCCAGGACAGAGGATTCTGCTCCGCCACTTCTAGGGCCAGCTGGCCCCGTGAAGGCCGGGAGGGGCCCAGCGAAGGTGGAGGATCTCCAAGAAACCCTGTTGAGGAGGTCTCAGCGCTGGCTTCCTCAGCCTTCCTGACTTTGGGGCAGAGTGGGGCTCCAGGCCAAGCCCCGGGTCTCACCTCCAGCCAGCCAGCCCCCTCTTGAAAGGAGGAGGCCACTGCTTTCCTCACCGGGTCCAACAAAGCTATCGTAGGTGAGAGCGGGACAGGCTGGAGGCCAGAGGGTGTAACTTGGGCAGGGGAGGTGGAAAAGGGAGGCCGACAGCCAGCCCTCCCCACCCAACCAACCCACGGGGGGAACCTGGCAGGCCTGCCTGTTCCCCATGGACAAACCTTTTGTGGCACAAGCCTCAACTCAATTTTCTTCTGGCTAGGATTCATACCCTCACGCACGAGTCCCCGCCCTTCGTTCCAATCTTACTGTAAGGATTGAGGTAGTTAATCCATTTATACTCGTAGCATCCATCACCTGTGGTTACTCAAAACGCTGCTCCCATGCAGCTTCCTGCTATTTTACTTAAGCAAACAAAAATTCCTTTTCTTTTATCTTGTCAGTCCGGAGTCAACCATACCAAGGCGCCAGTCATGGCACCATCAGACTGTACCCCAAAGCGGCACGCAGGGCCGAGGGTCAGGGTCGGGGCTCTCGCCCTCTGAATCCCCCTTCAGACACGAGGCCTCCTCCCTGTCCCGCACCCCGATGGAGAAGCCTTCTGTATCCAAAGGAAAGAAACTGAAGTTTTCAGCTGGTGTCACTCTACGTCTGAATACAAGAGAAATGTTCTGCATCTAAATCATCGAGTATTTGGAAGGGAAATGGCTTTTATGTCCCCTGGCATTGATGAGGATTTTTCTTCCATCTTCCTGCAATGACCGGCAGGCTGTGCCGTTTGCAACGAACAGGCAAAACAGTTGCGAGGTTGGAATGGCAAAGCCACCAGGATCTCCCCATAAACACTGCAGGAGGAAGAAAGGAGATCTCCCACCCGCTGAGAGGTGGGCGGCGGGGCTGCCTGGAGGCACCGGCTCCTCTGGGAGCAGGAAGGCTGGAGCGGGCCCTCTGGGGCTCTGTGAGGTAGTTACCAGCACCGCTGGTTCCCAGTTTGGCAGAGGGTACATCTGGGGTGGGAGGAGGGGAAGGCACCCTTGAGAGCTAACTGAGGCCCCTCCTCGCTGCCCGTCTGCCAGGCCTGAAGGGAACTCGCGGTGCCATCTCTGCAGTGGGGGCAGGGGACCGAGAGCAGTCCCACCGGGGAGCAATCGGGAGCCCCGAACTTCCCCTCCTTTCCCCAAAGTGCAACCGGGGGCCAACAGACCCCTTTCTCGGCTCCCGACCCCTTGGCAAGTAGCACTCCCAAGTCCCCGGGGAGCTGCAAGGGAAGCACGTTCCCTTAGCTCACACTGTTGTGGGGAGCCCATCCCTCAGACAGCCCAGGTATGTGTCGAAAAGGTGGCTGTCGCTTTGATTCACAAACAGCCTCTCTCAGCCTCTGTCTGTCTGTCTTTGGCACAGAGGAAAACGGACACATTGAACCAACTAGAGTGCCCCCTCCAGTGTTCCCTGGGTTTCCTGTGGGCTCTTTTCTGCCAATAGTGAGGCATAAATAAGAGAACAGCTCCCAACTGCCCCTGAGAAGGAGGGCTCAGGGAAAAGGAAAGAAGATCGGTAAGAACTGGGAGGAGGGGAGGAAAGCGTGAAAGGCTAATAAAAACTCCCTGTCCTCAAAAGTGGCTCACTCCTACCCAGACCCCTCACGGGAGCAGAGTCCAGGACCCGAACTGCAAAGGCAACCAGACCCTGGAGGGGATTAAAGCCATCGGGGTGGAACTTGCAGATGCAGCTTCAAAGTAAGTCAGTGAATCAAACCATTTTGGTTTCTTATGTGTTTCAAAGAATTAAAAAATATATCCTAAACAGATGGTCCTTTCTTAAAAATATATATGTAGCACACACACACATATATATATCTTAGAGCACAGAAACTTTTTTTTTAAGTCACTTTTCTCAAATCATCCAAATCTCCCAAGTGCTTTTCGCGACTGCTTGTTCTCTCACCAAGGATGGGGAGACAGAGGGAGGATCGGGCAGGAGAGGCCCTGAGACCTAGCCTACAGGTCAAGGAGGACCCACTAAGACAGAGTCCTTCATGCTAAGCCTTAGCCACCAAACCATACTCCTGCTTTCTGGTAGGACGTTGTCTGCGATATCCCTGCTGGGCAAATGCCCTGAGCAGGGGGCCGCCCCTAATCCATGCAAGAAACGTCCTCCAGTGCCGCGCCCCCCACTTCCTGGTCTCTTCTGGGAGCTGAATCAGCCAAAGGAAAAGGACTCTAAGGTGTGAAGAGAGCAGGCCCCCAAGGAAACAGAACACTGCAACAATCACATTTCAGGTACTGTGGGATTTTTCTTCTTCCTGATGATAGTTTGAACCAGATATCAAAGCATGCTTGCTGCTGGAAATTCACTTTAAATCACTAAATGGCCGATGTCTGAACGTTATCTGCTTCATTTTGGGATAAAGCGTATAGAGCCAGAGATGGAAAGTTGGGAGACCCTTTGTGTGGTTGAGACGGAGTTGGGGGAGGCTTCATTCTACTAGCCTGACATGTTCACTGACGACTTCCTGGTTCTCTCTGGGCTAGGAAGGAATGTCGTGGGGAGAAAGTGACAAGACCATAACAAGGCAGGAATCTCTCCCACCTCATCCTGTATCCTCTGCCCCTCCTTGCCACCCATCCACCACTCTGAATCAAGAATTCTCTAAGTTTGGGTCCACTTTTAAAATCAATCAAATCAATCTAAAGACAGGGAGGTGAGGGGGCAGTTATCTGAGTGTGCATTGCCCCTTGGTCTGTGGATGAAGACGAAGAAGAATAGCAAGATGGAACTGAAATGAAACAATAATAACAAAAAGAAGATGAAAAGTATTGCAACGACAAACCAGGTGGACCTCTCTGAGGGCGAGAGGGCGGCCTTGTCTTTCTTCCATGAACGGAATCTTGGCTCCCATATTTTTAGACGGAGAAATATAGATTTTTTTTAACAAAGGGTATATCTTTTAGTTATTATTTCTCTCCTCGATAAAACGGAGGCAATATTTTAAAATATCTCAACAGCACCACTGGTGGGAAAAACTGGCGGAGATGTCATTTAATCAAAGGAGGAAGGAAGGGACCCCAAGGCCAGGAGGTTGTCAGTCACTGTTGTTTTGCCGCCGGAGGACCCCAGCTCTGCTAGGCCTTCTGATCCTATCAGGTAGGTTATTCCAGCAGCAGCCAGCAGCTCAGGGATCTAGACATCAGATCAGAGCTAGGCAAGGCTCTGGGCTCAGCCCCTCTGGGCTCTCTTAAACCTGGACCCCAGCCTCCTCCAAGGGGCCAGCCCCGGCCGCCTTTCCCACCGGGCCTGTTCTCCATAGAGAGTTCCTAAAGGGTTGCTGGCTCATGTTGTAAGAAATTATGAAACATAACTTTCTCATTTTTTTCTTTTCATTAAAAAAATAAAATATTCAAGACTATCAGCTTCTCTTTTGCTTTTCTTTTCTTTTTTATATAAAATATCAGCAAGCTGCAAAAAAAAAAAAAAATCAAAAAAAAATTTTTTTAATGGGGTTGGGGAACAAAAAGGAACATAATTGCTGAGGTAACTTCATACCTTGAGGTAGTTTACTTCACACACAGCATTGCCTGACTACGCCCACATGTCGTGGTTGTCTTGTTGTTACTGTTGTTGTTGCAATGTTGAAAGGAGGGGAACTCCACGCATGGGCTTTCCCACATGTGTAGAGAGCGGCCTTCCTCCCTTCCCAGCACACTTGATAGTATTGTCCAGGGTAGCTAAAGTGCATTACCTGGCTAATATGCATTGTCGATCAGTACATTGAGAGGGGAGGCCTAACCTCATTTAACTGATGGCTCCTGTCCTCCACAAAGGCTAAATTTCCAACAGGATCTTATTGAGCCTGGTAAATTAATAAATTAAGTTCCTTTACTCCTTTGTGTATAATGCTGCTGGCATTCTAAATTTTGTTTAGACACACCTTCTTTCACTGAGCCAATAATGATACATATGGAGGCAGAAGGCATCAGTTAAATATTCCTCTCGGATAAAAACAGAAGCAAGTACTCTCCAATTTACTGAATTTGCCAGATGATGGACTTTAGCTTTATCAGGAGCTCAGGGTTGGGTTCCAAGTCCCACCACCACCAAGGAAACAGTGCCGTGGCCAGAAGTGCCCCGCCACCCCTGCCTCTGGGAACCAGCCCTTATAAGAGCACATGGGCTAGGGGTAAGGGCACCATGGCAGCCTTTGGGGCCACTCAAGTCCTCCATGGAACTGAGACTTTATCAAGGGGAGTTAGCATCTATCCCCTTCCCAGTGCTCACATCCAATCATTAAAATAGACTTTAAAAAAAAATATAAAATCTGCCTGAGAATGATGGGAATCAGGGACAGTGGTGAGCCCCCACCCTGCTGAGCATTCCACACCACCTATGTGCACCTGGACAGGATGTGGGACCTCTATGGTTAGAGGGACACGAATGTGGTGGGAAAGCCCCGACAGAGTGGGAGAAATTTCAGTTGTGCCAATTTTTCATGATGGCAATCTGGAATAATCAGGGCGCTCCTTTTAAACGTGGATTATTATGCATTTCAATCATCTTTCTCCCCATTTTACCCCCTTTTTTATTCCTTATTGTACCTATTGACTGGCAAGGGGGGATTGGAATTAGACTGTAGATATCAACAGGTCCTTTTCCTTGAATCAATATTAAAAGTAAAGCAGTGCATTCGTTCACATTTTTTTTCTAGTAGAAGTACAGCTCAAACAATTCATGTAAATATAAGAAGAGGCAGTATCAGCACCAATTAACCAGAGGGAAGAAGGCGGGAAAGACTTTAAGGTCAAGAAACAAACCATCCTTTGAGGCTGATTAAAACTCCCCCCTCTGCTTATTTTAAAAACCTGAAAAAAATTTTATTTCTCTTTCCTCTGGGGTCTGAGCCACCCTCTCCTGGTGGGGCTCCTTATAATCCACGTTTAAAAGCACCCTGAGCTGGAATTTCAATGATGACACCCTGAGGGGTGGGCAGTGTGGGGCCAGTTGATCAGGGTTCCTCACGGAACGTCTTTCTCAAGCAAGTGGGCAAACCTGATCCTCAACCCAGCCGGGGTGTCCCGGATTCCCACACATTCTCAGGCCTGATGGGGAGCGCACGCTCTCGGTTTCCGCCCGCTGTCCTGGACTCGATGGGATGGGGAGGGGCTGGTCACTTCCTCCGTGCCTGGGCCTGGTTACTCTGTCCCTTCTGGTGCTGCTGCTTAACCTGGGCGAGGATGTCCCGGATCTTCCGCTGAGCCATCTGCAGCAAGAACAGGAAAGAGGGAGCGTGTGAGGACCCTCAGGAGGCCATTGGGATCCAGGCACAGACAACAGAGAACAGGTCACAAGAGACTCAGAAGAAAGGCAAGAGGAAAAGTGAAGGCCAAGATGACCGTACATTTCTTTGCCTCCAACAGAGCCTGAGCTTCCACAGGGCAATACAGCAAGTATGGAGGATGCGGGTGCCAGGTGGAATGAGGGGTCAGAGGAGAGATGGCAGTATAAGGCCAATATCAGAATTTAACACTCAGCAATGTGGGCACATGTGACCAAACCTGAAATGGACTGCCTCACGTTTCCAGGCAAATGTCTAGCGCACATTGCACGAGGATCATAAACCAGGAGACACCATCACAGATACCAAAAATGTGTTAAGACCCCAGGAAAGAAGGCCAGGGATGGTGGCTCACGCCTATAATCTCAGCACTTAGGGAGGCCCAGGTGAGAGAATTGCCTGAGCTCTCTGAGACCAGCCTGGGCAACTTGGCAAGGCCTCATCTCTACAATAAATCAAAAAATTAGCCGGGCATCAGAAAGAATCACCTGAGCCCAGCAGGTCGAGGTTGCAGTGGCCATGAGTGTGCTACTGCACTCCAGCCTGGGCAATAGAGTGAGATTCCAAAACCAAAAAAAAAAGACCTCAGGAAAAGAAATAAAATGCCCAGGCAGAAATTAACAAATATGTTCCACTGGGAAAATGGTTAAAATACCAAAGGATCAGTCTCTATACTCTTTCTTTCTTAAGAGATTAACTCAATCAAAGTTTAGCCCGGGGTCAGTGGCTCAGCCTATAATCCCAGCACTTTGGGAGGCCGAGATGAGTGGATTGCCTGAGCCTGTGGGTTCAAAACTAGCCCGGACAACTTGACAAGACCTTGTCTCGACAATAAATCAAAAATTAGCCAGGCATGGAAGCACACGCCTATAGTTCCAGCTACTTTGGAAGGCTGAGGCAGGATTGCCGGAGCCCAGCAGGTCGATGCTGGAGTGGCTGTGAGTGTGCCATGCACTCCAGCCTGGGTGACAGAGTGAGACTCCAACTAAAAAAAAAAATCAAGGTTTATAATGGAAATCTATTGCAAAGTGGGGGTGAAGCCCAAACTGTCTCCTTCCCATGACCTGCTCCATTTCCAAGTTAAAGATGAAGTTGCTCCAGAAGGATGTAGAAGTCAAGACTGCTGAGTTGCAACTCCGGCTGGCCCGGCTTTATGTTTCACATGGCTTTTCATTTAATTCTTGTTCTGATCAATTGAAACTGCTTCTTTTTTTTTTTTTTTTTTTCCCTTGAGTAGGAGTTTCACGCTGTCACCCAGGCTGGAGTGCAATGACACGCTCATAGCCACCACAGCCTTGACCTGCTGGGCTCAGGTGATCCTTCTGCCAGTCTTCCAAGTAACTGGAACCACAGGCGTGCACCACATGCCTGGTTAATTTTTTGATTTATGAGACGAGGTCTCACCAAGTTGCTCAGGCTGGTCTCGAACCCCTGAGCTCAGATGTAATCCTCTCACCTCCGCCTCCCAAAGTGCCGGGATTACAGGCATGAGCCACTGCGTCCAGCTGATCATATTTAAAAAATGCAACCTAAGCCGGGCTCGGTGGCTCAGTCTGTAATCCCGTGCCTTTGGGAGGCTGAGGTGAGTGGATTGCATGAGCCCGCGGGTTCAAGACCTGCCTGAGCAGCGAGACCTCATCTCTACAATAAATCAAAAAATCAGCCGGGCGTGGTAGCGCATGCCTGTAATTCCGGCTACTCGGAAGGCTGAGGCGGAAGGATCGCCGGAGCCCAACAGGTCGAGGCTGCGGTGGCCGGGAGCGGCTACTGCACTCCAGTCTGGGCGACAGAGTGAGACTCCAACTCAAAAAATAAATAAATAAATAAATAAAATGCAACCTAGCGTATTATTACTGTGATCATTACTACATGAACAAGACTGGGTGACAGATTACACTAATTTTCATTCATATCCAGTGTGAAAAGGAGTTAGAGAGGGATTACTGTTAGACAATGGGAATGACTATTAATATATAACATGTGACACAGAATATATATGTAATAGCTATATACAACACATACTATACATGAAAGTTGTCAAATCACTTTCCCAAGAGAGTATTCAGAGGAAATAAATCATCTACACACCCACTCCTGCATCAGAATGAGGGGAAGACCCAGCCCAGAGGCAGGTAGATGCAGTCAAGGTCATGTTGGGCACATTTGGAGTTTCTCTGCTCCCTGGGCTCCTGCAGCTACCCCCATAATGAAGGCGCACCCTGTGTACCTGGCTGGCATAGAAATGTCCGATGATTTTCACAATAACCTGGTCATTCTCGTCAGGGGTCTGGTCTCTTGGTACTACCACTTCAGCTGCTGTCAAATTCTGCAACTCATTCACCTGGGGGTGGCCAGAGAGGAGTTCAGGGTGCCATCAAGAGAACACAGATGGGGTTAGAGGAAGGAGCCGAGGTGACCAGTGGATGAAACGGGAAGGGCCGGAAGCTGAGCTTGGGGAATAGAATCAAACAGGAAAAGCCAGGTGCGGTGGCTCACACCTGTCATCCCAGCACTTTGGGAGGCAGAGGCGAGAGGACTGCCTGAGCCCAGGGGTTTAAGACCAACCTGGGCAATTTGGCAATACCTCATTTCCACAATTTAAAATAAAAAAAAAAAGCTGGGCATGGTGGCACACACCTATAGTTCCAGCTACTTGGAAGGCTGAGGCAGAAGGATCACCTGAGCCCAGCAGGTCAAGACTGCGGTGGCTGTGAGCATGCCACTGCACTCCAGCCTGGGCAACAGAGTGCGACTCCAAAGTAAAAAAGAATCCATGGAAAAATCAGGAGTCCTAAGGGTAATGACATGGGGACAAGGTGGGGGTTGAAGCCAGAGCCAAGCTATGGGGCTTGAAGACCAAGGCCCAGGGCTCTCCCTGGTCATCAGGGCTCACCGTTTTGCCGCCTTTACCGATGACCCGGCCAGCTGCCGATGCCGGCACTCGTATGTGGGTCTCTAGCTTTACTTCCTCCTTGGGACCAAAGAAGTTCTCCTCCTTGAGCTTGCCGTAGATCCTTCCCTGAGCCTGGTAAGAGGAGAAGGCCATTGTTAACCAAGACCTCAGGGAAGAGGATCAACAGGAAATATAGTCCCCACCCTCAGGCCCACCCCATCCTGGGTGGGCCAACCATTTATGGCAGCTGACCGGCAAGGCTCACCTGGCCAGCCTGTAAGCGTCCCTTCTGTTGAGGTATGACACTAGGGAGCCCAGGGGGAGATTTTTTTTTTTTTTTTTGTGGTGGAGTCTCACTCAGTCGCTCAGACTGGAGTGCAGTGGCCGTTCCCGGCCACCGCAGCCTCGACCTGCTGGGCTCCAGCGATCCTTCCGCCTCCGCCTTCCAAGTAGCTGGAACTACAGGCGCGCGCTACCACGCCCAGCTAATTTTTTGATTTATTGTAGAGATGAGGTCTCGCCAAGTTGCCCAGGTGGGTCTCAAACCCACGGGCTCTGGCAATCCACTCACCTCGGCCTCCCAAAGCGCTGGGATTACAGGCTGAGCCACCAAGCCCGGCTGGGAGATTATGAGTAACTGAATAAACACTTCCCAAAGGAAAAAAAATATTCCCCAGAGGAATATAATGCACAAGCTACAAACCAGACCTCGGAGATCCAGGATGACATTTATCTCTCCGTGGTATTGGCTAGCACTTCAAGGTGCTGAATGGCAACGAATCATGCCAGACAGAGGACAGGGCTGACTGATACTCCACAGCAGGCCAGAGAGTCATCCCAATCCTCACCTAGTTCAGATTAAGCTACTGTTGGCCTCTGGCTGCCTGGCCAGGAACTGTACGATGCAGTAGGGATGCATAAAGGAGAGAGGGGAACTTGGCATCTAAGGCCTTCCTTAGTAACGAAGGCAGAGTGCAAAGAAGCTGTCAACATCCTTCCTTCCCATGTTCCTGTGTTGACCTCCAGGGAGTAAAGAGGGAAGTGGAAGGCGATAGAAATGGGAGTTTGGTGCCAATCGGATAGCAGCTTTGCAGCCTGTATCCTACAGGGAAGGCTTAAAATTGGGATAAGGATTTGACAGTGAATAGGAAGCTGCCCCAGCCTTTTTCCTGTATGTGGGGGAATTTCCCACCCTGAATTCCACCATGTCCAACTTAGAAAAATTAAGATCAAAACCTTGAATTGGGCCTCTGGCGGTCCAGTGATGATCACCATACGGACTTTGGAGTCAGGTGTTTCAGGTGGTGCAATCTACAAAGCAAACAGCTGGTCAAAGAGGGACCCTCTCTGGGAAGACCCCACCATCTCCACCTCGTCCAGTTCCCCAGCTACCACCCCTGCCCCCACTACCCATTCAGAAGACTAGGAGAGGCAAGGGCAGGGGCCCTGAAGTACCCTGCACAGCAAAGCAGCTAGGAGGGTAGCCGGTTAGAAGGACTTGTGTCAGAGACCTCTTCCAAGTAGGGCTTCCCTGCCCTGTGACCCATCTCAATCTCTCGGGGAGGTTTCAGTGCAGCCCTGAGAGAGGCAGGGACACAGTGGAGACCAGTGATGGGGTGAAGGCAGGGGCTACACGTCCAATGGAGAACAAGTGTGGCTTCTGCCCAAAGCTGCTAAGACCACTGAAGTAACTGGACTTGGGCTTGTGAGACCTAACACTTTGTTTCACTGTGACAGACTCCAGCTTCTCTCAGCACTGGAACTACAGGTGAGGGCAGGGGCTTTGGATGCGTGGTTTTGCAGTATTATACTGATGAGGAAGGGGAGGCTCGGGTCCTCCAGCGACGAGGAGGGGCTGGGATTTGAACCCAAGTTGGTCTGTGGCAGAACCGAGGCGCTCTTGCTACCACCTGCCTCTTGCCTAGCCCAAAAACCCAGACTCACTAGAGGCATTCCACAGAGGACCAGACAAGATCAGAAGCAAATAGGACCGTGATCCCATGGGATAAAGTTCTTCACACAAGACCCAACGTTCTCAAAAGAATAAAAAGAAGCCAGGTATGGTGGCTCATATCTGTAATCCCGGCACTTCAGGAGGCCGAAGCGTGACGATTGCTTGAGCCCAGGAATTCAAGACCAGACTGGGCAACAAAGCAAGACCTCGCCTCTACAAAAAAATCAAAAAGGTCAACCAGATGTGGTAGTGTGAACCTTTAGTCCCAGTACTTGGGAGGCTGAGGTGGAAAAATTGCTTGAGTCCAGGAGGTCAAGGCTGCAGTGAGCCATGATAGTGCCGCTGCATTGCAGCCTGGGTGTCAGAGTGAGACCCCAACTCAAAATAATAATAATAATAATAATAATAATACGAGGCACCTGGGCGCGAGAGCAGAGCACCCTCACATCCCAGGGACTGAAGGTCCACAGGGCAGATCACCTTGATAGAGGCACTGGCGAACCGCGAGAGCTGCTTGATGTGCTGGCCCTTCTTGCCGATGATGGCGCCCACGGCCTGGGCGGGAATGAACACCTGCACCATCTCCTGCTCGGGAGCCTGCTGCTGGGACGGGGGGTACTATCACCACAGGCCCGGGGCAGGATCCAGAAACCCCTCTACTCCCCCGCCTGGCGTCCTCCAGGAAGAAGGGGTACAGGCACCCAACAGCCACCCCAGGCTGCCAAGGGAGGCTGCCAGCTCTTCAGGCCCGCCTCTGCTTAGCAGGGCTAAAGGGAAGAGGTGGGGCAAGAGTGAGGGACCCTGGTCAGGCACGGTGGCTCACTCCTGCAATCCCAGCACTTTGGGAGGCAGAGACAAGAGGACTGCCTGAGCGCAGGGGTTTGAGACCAGCCTGGGCAACTTGGCGAGACCCTATCTCTGCAAAAAAATTTAAAAAAAATTAGCCGGATGTGTTGGTGCACATCTGTGGTTCCAGCTACTTGGAAGGCTGAGGTGGAAGGATCGCCTGAGTCCAGCAGACTAAGGCTACGGTGGCCATGAGCATGCCACTGCACTCCAGCCTGGGCAACAAAGTGAGACTCCAACTCAAAAGAAAAAAAGAGTGAGGGATACATGCTGCCGGCACCCAGTGGCACCCGAGGGCTGACATTTGGGAGCGTCAGAGCCCACAGCTGGGAACAATGCAGAGAAGGGCTGTCCCAACACCTCCCTTTCCTCTTCCCTGGAAACTTCCTAAGCATCAGACTCCAACAGGGAGTGGGATCCCTTAAGAGAGGTCACACACAGGCTCAGGGGGGTCCCCAGTAGTAACACTTTCCACTTACCATGAAGGAGCTGTAGGGAGCAGCCCCGGTGACGCTGCTGGGCGGTGGCGGGACTGCACTGGACGAAGCCGGGAAAAGGCCCACAGCAGCCAGGTTGAGGCCAGGGATCAGATGAGATTGCAGCTGAGGAGAGAGGTAACGGGGAGGAGTCAGCCCATCCTGACGCGGTCTGGCGTCCTCTGCGTGTGGCTCTGGTGATCCCGTGTGTGGCCCTGGCTGAATCAGAAGGGCGAATGCCCCAGGGAAAATGGGCCCAAAATGTGCAAATAACATGCTTTTGCAGGAAACCTGCCTGGCCGTGTGTGTTTTCTACACTCTCACACACACACCCCAGGCGTGCAGTTGTGAGTCCTCATTAAACTAAGAACAAGCCACTGCAGCCAACCCGTTATACACCTGAGAAGCCCCTTCCCCTCTGGCTGCTCACCCCTCAGCTGGAGACAGACTCCAGATTCATGGCCCTGGGCTCAGAGGCCCCTGTATGAGGAAGTGGCAGAGATAGTGCTTGCCCACCTCTAGGACTCGGCAGTCCTGAACCTTTTGGTTCTGTGCCCCAACCCCCACACCTCTTTAAAAATCAGATGAATACTATGGATCCCAGCTTCACTAAAACACATATCAACATAAATTTTATACATACTCATAGGAGGATCACAGGCCTTAAAACCCAAGATTAGACCCCCCATCCCAGGAACCAGATGAAGAATCTGTTTAATGAAATACAGTTTAAAAGCCTATTTCTGGATCACGCCTGCAATTGTAGCAGGAACCAGATGAAGAATCTGTTTAATGAAATACAGTTTAAAAGCCTATTTCTGGATCACGCCTGCAATTGTGGCACTTTGGGAGGCTGAGGTGGGAGAATTGCTTGAGACCACAAGTTCAAGACTAGCCTGAGCAACATAGAGACCTCATCTCAAAAAATTTCTTTGAAGCTGGACTCGGTGGCTCAGCCTGTAATCCCAGCGCTTTGAGAGGCTGAGGTGAGTGAATTGCCTGAGCCCGTGGGAGACCCGCCTGGGCAACTTGGTGAGACCTCATCTCTACAATAAATCAAAAAAATCAGCC